CAGCGTTCATCCAATGCGTCCTCCCTGAATGACGGGCCTCAAAGGACCCAGCTTAAGACCGGAACTAAGGCCGAGCCCCTCAAGACAACAGAAAATGTCCCATGCATGTTGGCTGCCTGAGAGTGGACCCAGCATTTCTTGTCCCAGACTTACCTCAGACTCATCTGTAGATTCTTCAGCAGATATTTCCTGAAAAAAAAAATCACAAAGGAGAAAAAAGGTCAGTCAGTAATGTGGCCCAAGAAAAGAGTGGAGGAAATGCACCCACCCCTACAGAGGTGGGGGCCTATGGATGCGGAATGCTGCATACACTGTCAGAATAAGGTAATGTATTGGACGGTTTTGTTCAATTTCTTCTTTTTTCCTCCTTTGTTACACGGGATAGCTTGCTGGGGGTGGGGCAAAGGGATACTTCAGAAATGAACGTAACGCAAATAAAAACATATCAGTATATCTGAACAGTCAAAAGAAAAATAACATATACTTGAAAAATGGAGAAACAAAGAATTTATTACCTCTCCCATAACCTGCTTCCTTTTTATTTTATGTTATTTTTTTAATCACTAGGTCCCCCTGGTGAGATGCTAAGAAGACTTAAGAACCAACAAACTGGATAAACAGGACGTCAGTCTCACCTTATCCAGCCCCTTTGGGGTATCCAGGCCCTGTGAGCGTTAGGTACGATTTGGCTCCCAACACTATCTACCATAGCCAACCACCAACACCACCTCATTCCCCAAGAAGAGCGCCATCCAGGCAGGATTTGGGAACTTACCCTCCCCAATGATGGGCCATCAATCTCCCCAAGTCACCTCCCTCCTTCCCCACACTCCCCACTATAGTCAAGAACACTGCAGTCTCAAGCCCTCTCTACCAGGCTCCTCCTAGAGCAAGCTGCCACAACACCATTAGTATGGATGGGGCAAGAGAGGCCTCTCCTGCTTAACCGATTTTCAAGACAATCCCCTGTCCACTGGTTACCCATTAAACACCTCACAAACCAGCCATCTGATTTCCATCCGTTTCTCTAACTATCAACCTTTAGACAAACTCTGCCTTTAAGCACACTTTTTTCTCCCATTAGACAATGAATCTTGCTGTCCCAGGGGGAAGAAAAGAAAGAACGGAAAAAATTGACTTGACTCCTGTCTGCTAATCTCTCACCTGTCCACTGAAAGGGAGAATCTGCTGATGCCGGGCATCCTCAAAGAGGTCAGCAAAATGAAGATTTACTTAATGTACTTATAGTTATCAATAGCAATAAAAGGTCCCGACTAATATGCTGACGGGGAAAGTAAGCATTTTACAAGGCCCTGGACAGACACCCAGAGGGAACAAAAGAGACAGAAGCCTCTCTCCACTGCGGTACGTTGACCATACACAGATAGGCACCCTTTAGCACTGAAGACACCATGATCATTAGCTACAGAATGAGCACAAGGAAAAAAGCAACATCACTGACATTAATGAAAGTTTGGGGACGGGAGGACGGGCAGGAGGTAAAGCAACAAATCAGGCGCTGTCACCAGGCCGGCAATAGTCGGAGAGATGGCCAGCAATCCAGTGTAGCCAAGGGCGCAGCTGGACACAGCCAGGGGTGCAGTGGGCAGTGTGGTGCCTGGCATCAGCAACACCTGAGTCCAAATCCAGTCTCAGAGTTGTGTAACTAGCAAGCCACCTGACTGACCACTGTCTGCCTCAGTTTCCTCATCTGCAAAGTAGGAATAATAAGAGTCCCTACCTCCTCTGATAGTTGTGAGGATAAAATATTTGTAAAGTGTTTTGCAAACATTACATCATATAAATGCTAATTACTGCCATATTATTCTTATTACCATCAAAGTTCAGCTTCCTAAACTTCCCAAGAACAATAAAATAATGCAGTAAGACTTCAAGTGTTCCATCCTTTCATTGAGAAAACTCATTATCCTTTTCTGGGGCTAGATCTTAATGAAAGGCCAGTGGTGGTCATGAATAAAGGGAAATCACTTGGGGTTTCACAGCAGGCTTAGACTCCACAAAATCTGCATTTCCCACAAAAAGTTGAGCTGAGCTCAGCCAAAAGTGAGAGTCTTAGGTCCTTTCCACTCGAGGATTTCAAGAATGAGTTTTCTGATATTAGTTCATCAAAATATGCAGCGCCTTTCCTCAGATTTGCCAATGGATCTGTGATTTCATTCATTTCAGTATTTCCTCTAACTACAAAGCTCACAACTCATTCACACCTGCCTGGGTCCCCATCCACGGGTGCTCCATGGCACCCGACCTGCTGTGGACTTTCCCAGAGTCCTTCTGGAGGATTTTCAGACGGCCTGAAAACAACGACGGAGGGAGCGGCTATCCACTGGTTACTCTCACTCTTGCCATGTGATTGGCCTATCTTTTTCTTTAATGGTCATATGATAACATCCTAATTGTCATCCCTTCACCTGCACAGTTTACCATTTGTGATGTGCTACACCTTACACCTACCAGGCCTCCCCTCTGCCCAATGGGTAATGCTCAAAACCTGCTCCTCAAAGAAAGTGGCACTTGACATAAAGACATAGATCATCACTGTAAAAATACTGGGGTTAAAAAGACAGACCTTTGTTCAGGGCAAATCTTAGGAACTTCACAGTTTCCTAAAAACACTGAAGCACCTTTCCTCCTCCCGTTCCACTCTGAGCCCAGATTTCTGTCCTTCTGCAGGGTCTGTCCAGTAGATAGACACTGATGAGCCGGCTCTGTGGAATGTCCATTTATAGTCATGACAATAGCGAGCCTTCTTTATCCATTTTTTCCCCTGTGTGGAGTTAGGCCTAACTCTTGAAAGATGACAGATCTCTCTAGGAGGCTCTGAAATATTCCAAGGCCCAATGAGAGCAGCACAATGGCACCTACGAATGAGAGCGTGTGCAACACGAATCCCCATTCTGTTTGAACTCTGCACTGGACCTTCTCCAGGACAGTACCAAACACCTTTTTCAAGGCTACTTCTGTTTAGGTAGGCTGTGCTTGATATGTCTAACCCTACCTCCCAAATCTTCTTCCACTGTTTCTCCCCCCACTTCCTCTAATCCAGCCATACTGGCCCTTCTGACCAAAGCACATGCCATACTCTGTCTCCCCCACACCTTAAATGCACCCTCTCCTCACCTCTGCCTCTCCTAATCACTGGTTACCTTCAAGGCTTGGCTACCGGACGGCCTTCTACATGAAATTTTTCCTGGCATCAGCATTCTCCATGCTGGTGGATTCCCTCCCAAACTGCCTTTTATTTCTTTTGCATACATTAGGCGTGAATCATATACATACACATATGTGTAATTACACATCTCTCCCATCAGAATACACATTTGCTAAGAGCAAGGACTCCTTCCCTTCTGTCACTGTGCCCTAAGCATTTAGCATAGTGTCTGGCACACAGTAGGCATTTAATAAATGCTTGGCGATTAATGGATAGTTTAACTGTATTTGAGCAAAGCATCTGACAAGGTTCTCACATGATTGTTGTTCACCACATGGAGAGACCTGGGCTTGACAGAGGCCTGGTGAGTTTGGTACGTTCAGACTCAGTTTAAAGTTTAGCATTAGAGGGATTCAGAAGAGCCCCAAGAGGAGACCTTCACTCATCAGAGTCAGCTCGGAAGGAGATCATTCCCAGAATGCCTCTCCAGGGATTGGTGCTTAGCTGCTGCCAAGCTACCTTGCTACCCATGACCCCGACAAAGGCTTGGGCAGCACGCCTGTTCTGTGTGCAGATGACTCAAAGTGAGGAGGAGGGACAGCTAACACACCGGATTATTAATGATGTAAAAAGACCTGAACAAAGACCTGAATCTAATGTGACCCGAAATATAACAAAGAAGCAGCCAGTCTAACATCTTGGTTCAAAAGTTCAGCTTCAAAAGTACAAGACAATGAAGCACAACTAGAAAGGGGTTTGCTGAAGAGGATCTAATAATCCCAGTGGCCTGCAAGCTCAAGGAGTCCGTGAAATAACATGGCGGCCACGAGAGTTCCTGGATAGTTTAGGCTTCATTGGTCACCGAGGTGTGCTTCATCATTGCCTCAGCTCCTGGGGCCTCCTCACCCTGGAGCATCTCCCTCTTCTCTCCCCGTGCCAGTCCCTGCACCTCTGGGGTTTCCCTTTTGAGAAAAAGACCAGGCCAGCTACACGTCAATCCTTCCTGGTTATGCCTCCGACTCTCCAGACTGGGCAGCTATGCCCTCTCCCTGACCCCGGCTCTTTGCCTTTCAGTTCCCTTTCCTTTGCTGTCTTCCCCTCTTAGAATGGAAGCACCTTTAGGGCAGGGACTAGCTTTCTTTTTGCTTGTATTTGTATTCCTAGCACTTAGCCTAATGCCCACACACTTCAAGAGCTTACTCAACGCCTACTGCCAGGCTGCCTCTAGACAATCCCACAGTACTCTGCCCAGGTCAGATCAGATCACGCTCCATTCTGGTGTTAGATTTTCCCACAGGGGAACCAGTCCTGTAACGGGCTTCAAGATCGGGCCCCATCAGGATCAGCCAAACGAGCTGGGGACGTTCAGCCTGGAGAACAGCCATGTGGGTGGCTGGGTGGTGAGGGGAGGGAAGAGATCTTTGCAGACCTAAAGACTCTGACTGAGGAGAGTGATCAGACTAGCTAGGGTTAGTCCCACTGGGTAGAACTAGAAACAATGGGTAGAAGAAGTTAGGGATGAAGTTCTCAACAGTTAGGGCCAAAAAGGGAGCCTGGGCTGCGTCAGGACGGGGCAAAGTCCAGCCAAGGCTGCCCGACTAGGCCAGGTCTGCTGGCTGCGGAGGAGCCAGCTTCCTGCCCAAGAACCAAGTGGCTTTCACCCTGGAGAATCCCTATGTTCAATCTGGATTCCACCAGCGGGACTTTGTAAGGGTCTAGTGCCATCTTGGTCTGCCTCTTCACTGTGGTCACGCCATATCACGGTAACCAATGTCCATAACTCCAAAAGGGAAAGGACTGGACGGCCTTCCTTTTCACCTGCTTCTAATGGGAATCCCTTTCCACTGTGTATCGTGTTTGAGGTTGGTTTCAAATAGATCCTTATCCTGTGAGGGAAAGTCTTCTTATCTCTCCTTATTGCCAAGGCTTTCCCTTTCTGTTCATTGGAGGGAACCTCAAGTACATCTAGTACAGACAGCTGCTTGAAATTTCAGCTGAGAGAATTGGGGATGCTACTGCA